TTGACAAGCCTTCTTGTAAGATCGTGGTTCTGAAAAAGAATGAATAGCAAACAAGAAGGTGCAATATGAAGAAAAACATGTTTTAGCAAAATTAAATTTGACTATCTGTTTACAATAGCAAAGGGGATACCAACGGTCATCAAGATCAGTGTCATCAAAAGCAGGAGGATCAACAAGAAGGGAATGGACAACCAGTAGCGGGGAAGCTTTACAACGAGAATGAACTAACAACAAAGTAAGAGAAGGAACAAAAGGAGAATGGAGAACAGACTCATAGGGAATAGTAGAAATGTACTCAGCAGAAGGGGTGTAGGAGGAGAAGAGGGAACAAGCTCATGGGGAACAACAGAGATGTACTCATTAGGAGGGACCTCAGAAGGAAATGGATCAATGTGAACCAAATTCTTTTTGAAAACCGGGGCTGTGATAGGAAGCTGAAAGTAAGACGTTCGAGAAGACAATATGGTAAGAGACATAAAGGCGACGGGAAACAGGATCATAATAGCTATAGCCATTCTGAATAAGAATGTAACCCAAAAAGATACACAGGGCAAACCGGGCACTGAGTTTGATCTTATGTTTACGGGAACGATGAACAAAACAAGAAGACCCAAAAGCACGAAGGATAGAGTAATTGGGAAGTTAAGAAAATAGAGCCTCATAAGGAGAACGACCAGAAAGAACGAAGGTAGGCATACAGTTGAGAAGAAAAGCAACAGTAAGAACTGGCACACCCCAAAACGGAGCCAGAACAAAGGCAAAGAGGGTCAGCTCGATTATTTTGGGCGGATGTATCAGTACAGGAAATTTGGTGGCTAAATACTCATATAACTCAATTTTAAAATATTTTCCACCCAAGTCAGACCGTAACAATTTAATTGCAGACCAAAACAATGTAGTGATCATAAACTTAAATATATGGTATATTTTGTAGAAGTTAGATTTATGAGTCATAAGATAAATCCAATTATAGCGAGTCTAATCATCAACAAAAGACACATAGTAAGCAGAACCCCCTTTAGTGAAAACAAGAGATCCGCAGACATCAGTATACACAAGAAAAAATGGGATAACAAAAATATAAGTACTTTTATTAAAAGGTAATGCTGTCATTTTGACAAGTTTACACCCCCACATTCGATAATTTGACTAGGAGAAACTATGGCTAACAATCCTGATTGAGTTAACGACCGTAAACGATCAATAGACAAATGACCTAATCTAGAGTGCCACAAATAAAAAGGACTCAACTGAGAATCTAATTGAAAAGAGGAAAAAGCAACCGGAGAGGTAGTTATAGGTAGATGCAAGCTCTCCACCACATAGAGATCTCCAACACTATGATCGATCTCAATCTGCTTCTTGGACATCCGATCATACGCACAACAGATGGAAGAAGAAAAGATATCATCAAGACCGAAAGCATCAAGCTGACTAATAAATAACAAACTGGCAGATAACTGAAGTACATAAAAGACAAAAGGGATGGCAGAAGGCAGACAGAAGGGATGGCAGAAGGCAGTACAAACCCAATAGATAAAACAAACATATCAAACCCATTGGCAACATTAACAGCAACTAGAAAGGAAGGGGGAATACAGTTATGTTAGTATACACAAGAAAAAATGGGATAACAAAAATATAAGTACTTTTATTAAAATGTAATGCTGTCATTTTGACAAGTTTACACCCCCACATTCGATAATTTGACTAGGAGAAACTATGGCTAACAATCCTGATTGAGTTAACGACCGTAAATGATCAATAGACAAATGAACTAATCTAGAGTGCCACAAATAAAAAGGACTCAACTGAGAATCTAATTGAAAAGAGGAAAAAGCAACCGGAGAGGTAGTTATAGGTAGATGCAAGCTCTCCACCACATAGAGATCTCCAACACTATGATCGATCTCAATCTGCTTCTTGGACATCCGATCATACGCACAACAGATGGAAGAAGAAAAGATATCATCAAGACCGAAAGCATCAAGCTGACTAATAAATAACAAACTGGCAGATAACTGAAGTACATAAAAGACAAAAGGGATGGCAGAAGGCAGACAGAAGGGATGGCAGAAGGCAGTACAAACCCAATAGATAAAACAAACATATCAAACCCATTGGCAACATTAACAGCAACTAGAAAGGAAGGGGGAATACAGTTATGAAGTAAGGAGAGATGGAAAGTCATATGATGAGAAGCACTAAAGTCAGATATCCAAACTGAATGATAGATATCTAAAGAACCAACCAAACTTGAATGAAGAAAGGTAATAGTGGACGCAAACGAGGATGGCTGGAAGGTGGACAATATATGCTGAAACTAAGCAATCTAAACACTTAAGGTAGCCAAGCTAGGATCAAGAGCCAGAGCAAATGCAGTATAAGCAACTGAAGGCTGAAAATTACTCAAAGGAGCTTTGAACTAAGACTACTAAGTAGAAGCAGGTGGACGTCCCTTCTTAGGATAGTTGTACTTACAAGGGCCCCTTTGATGATAGAAAGCACACTGATCCGAGGCCAAGGGCCCTTTCTTGGGATCAACAGATGTCTAGAATTGATTAGGAGAGGGGGTTGATAACAGTGAAAACTGAATAAAAGCTAGGAAGACAGATGAAGATGGAACCTAACTAGCTGTCTTGAGACAGATTTCCTTGGAGAGAAGCTCACGAACTATAGCATCCACAGAAGGAAGAGAAGAACGGTGAAGAACACCACCCCGGATAGCCTCATACTAAGGAGAAAGAGCCATTAAGAACTGCACCAAACAACCTTCCTCTCCAAACTGCAAATAATCATCAAGTATCTTAAGGCTAGATGATTCCATGAGGGCCAACTGAACCTAGACCCCTATCATCTCAATGTAGAAATCCTGAATAGACTAATCCCGCTAACGAGCAGCCTGAATAGCGAATTCCAATTCATAATGTTTGGCAAAATTAGACTACTGCTACATACCCAGTAAAAAATCCCATCTCTTTTTTTTTTTTAGGTAGGTAAGTCATAAAATAGAATGTACACATTCATGAGGGGCATACCCCAGGCAATACAAACAACACACCACCCCCCCTCCCTCTTCCCCAACCCCACCCCACCCAAAAAAAAAAGAAAAAAAAAGGAAGGAATGAGGCTAATACAAAAATAACTAGCTATAACAAACCCCCGCAATTGCAAGGGACCAACAAAAAATCACAAATATAACCCAAATTTGCCCATATATCCTTTTTATACCCAAGTTACCCCACCATCAAAGATAATAGATGGGAACTTAGAGAACATATATGGGCGAGTAAACAAAATATATCCACATAAAACACATAATCTCGTAACAGAGACACGTACTAAGACAAAAATAAAAAAGCCTAAAACAACCACCAAGACCAATCAAAATATGATAATCACCTCTACAAGCTCCCAGTCTCTACCACGGATGAAACATGGAGTCCAATAAGCATCACATACCTCTTTGGCAATGCTGTATTTGGAAAAGATCATTCCGATATGGTCTTAAACCAAGTTGTGAAACCAGGTTAGAACTTATGCATTATCACAATCTCAAGTGCTACAAGCAGCTAGATATCCATCTTTTCTTGGGTCTGATGGACGAGAAACAAAATCATAAATATATCCCCATTTTTTTCGTCTAAGAAGAAAATTCTTCGTAACACTTGACCAACAGGCATAGTTGGCACCGGTAAGTTTGCATTTGATGGCCTGAATTTTATCATCCAACATGATGAATGGACTATCAAGAACAAGATAGTAATCCTAACAAGAACACAAACAAGGATATAAATGCAAATACGTAAATAAGAACAGTGTTGCCAAGTGAATAACAACACTGACCAAAAGATAATACCTCAAATGGGTAAATAACCAGACCCAAACCCGACTCCTAGAGAGGTCTTGGACCAGAACGAGAGAGAGAGAGAGAGGGGGGGGTCGCAAGAGCCAGAGAGAGACCAACGAACTAGAGAAGTGCGATTAAATGACCAGATGAACTAGAGGAGATAGGTAACGAAGTCAACCTATGGAGACAAGGCCAGAAATCTCGCAAACCAAAGAGAGAGATCGCAAACCAAACTAAACCAAGGAGATCGATCTCAACCCAATGACTTGCGATTCTGGTGACAGCAGATCGCAATTCCAACAATCACCCAACAAAGCCCAAATAAAAAAAATGGAATAAAAAAGGCCTACAACACTCTTCAATTGACAGTGTAGGGTTTCACAACCACCTCTGATACCATGTAAGTTTCAGTATCAACTTGTATATTCAATGTATTCTTACAAAGTACAAAACCAAATTATATAGCCATAAGACAAGACTAAAAAGGAAAATATAATATCTACACAATCAAAGGAGAATATCTACACAATCAAAGGAATATCTATAATCATACATGCCTACTATAAAAGATATACAGAATATATACTAATATATTCTCACAATAATTAAGTATACTAGCAAATCCATTCAGATCCCCCGTGATATTTCTGGTATTAAATTAAGATCTCATCAATGTAAGAAACTGCAAAAATTGTTCAATTTATTTTCAATTGCAAAATGCAATATGGTGAACTTAGGAAATCTCAACCCAACTAGATGAACATAAACTATCTCAAACAATGACATGGGAGTGTAGCACTGCCATGTATTTTGTTTGCCAATCAACTACAAATTTGATGGTTCATCTTCCTAGAACGATAATTTCACTTAGAACCTTGAGCGTTGTTCTTGGAAAGCGCAATACAAACACAGTGAAGTGTGGCCTCAGAAGTGAATATGTTTGATGGTTAAGTTCAAGTATTACAAAAATATCTTCTCTGAATTTTTATTTTTATTTTTATTTTTTTAATAGAAAAATATCTTAGCTGAATATTGGCCCATCAAAAAAAAAAGGCAGTGGAAAAACAGCATGCATGTTCTCATCTCAATGCTCAGTTCAGGCTGGTCCACCATCAAAGCATGCCAAACAATCCCATATGTAAAAACTAACCTTTATAGTAAATGGCCTGCGCCTGAGGAGCATAGATATTAGATGGGTAGAGATGGTGATCTCCACATGAACCAAGAGGTCCCAATTGATCAGCAATGTCCTTTGAATGACCAATTCCAGCATCCTTAGAAGCATTAGGAGAAACTGACCTCTCATCTTTCGCTGAAAGAGGCTGATAACAGAATCCGAAAAGAATTGTTATTATCAAAATACATTTTATTTAAACTCAGCCAAAAACAGAGAGTTAGTTGAAAGGAAATGGATCTGCAACTACCTGTTCCTTCATTTTGTCTGGCTCCAAAGGTATCCCTTCTGCATCCATGATCAGTATGCTAAGTGGCTTAGTAGAGTCCTAAATTCGGGGATATGAAAACTTGAAGCAATGAATATGAGCACAAATCCACAAGTGCACACCTATGCACACATAATATACAAAGAACATGAATATATTTAGAAGCAATTAGCAGCCACATATACACTTTAAAGCTCAGTGTCATCTCGATTATGAACTACAATGTGTGAAACAGAACGAGCAAAACCCATAAACAAGACAACATAAAATAGTCAGCCAAATATTTGATAGAAACGAAAATTAAACCAAACATACATGCACATGTAAATGACAACAGATGAAGAACAAAGCTTAGATTGTATCGACCAATGACTCAAATGATATAACAAAGCAGAAAAGCATTTGCCCATAGAAATTGAGGAACTTTAATTATGGGGAATAGAAAGGCATAGGAGGAATAATTGAGTTGAAGATTTGGTAATCTATTTTAGTATTATTTTATTTTAGGAATTCTTGGCTTGGTTCTATTAATAATGACAGTTTTGGTAACTCTTAATTAGGGTATGGTTGACTATAAATAGGCCTTTATGTCATGGTTTAGGAATTTTGACTCGGCTATTGAATTGAAATTACTCCCCATTTCTCCCATCTGTTCTTCTTCCCTCACTTCTCTCTTTGGTCCAACACTATTCACTTTCCAGCACTGGAAAATTCATTGAGCTTCAAGGAACCACCAAAAAAACTGAAATGAGGTGCAAAAAAATTAGTCATCGTGTATATGCCACAAAGTAGGAACAACACAATAAAACATACTCTTAAAATTGAAATGGATTGAGGCTTACATCAAAAAAAATGTCTATAGAGAAAATTAATTGAAATCCTGTAATGATTTAGAAAATTTGAACTTTTATTTATTATACTGAAGGCCCAAACTATTTAATTAATTCTAATTTATTTATTTTCTTAGTAATCAACCATGTCTTTCCGCTCCAGTTTGAGATTGGAAAGATTGATGACTGTCTGGGCCAGGTAGTTTTTCTATGTTAAATGGTTGTGTTTGAATATTAAATTACTAGCGGTTGGCACACGCATCGCGTGCAATTCAAATACGTAAGAACAAAACAGAAAACTATTACATCTTATGTGTCAATTAAGTGGCAAATTAAACCCTAGAACCAGGGTTACCAGAAATCATAGCGATTTGCGATGTGAATCGCACGATCCCAATCGCTGGAACGTAGATTTCGATGAACAATCAAAAAAGTTACTTACAGGTCACAACGATGACAATTTCCGGCCATCTATTTGTTGATTTCGTCGTCGGTTTGTTGTCGTCATTGTCCACCATAATCCAAGCCCTAGACCATTGATTACCAACGAAACCTAATAGATTTCATCGTCTTTTGCTCTTCCTCATCTCCTCGTCGCCGCACTAAATCGAAACCCTAGTTCATCGATATAGGAACCAAACAAATTTTATTTGGTCTCTCTGCGTTTATCAAATTTTATTTGGTCTCTCTGCGTTTATCACAAATTGAAAAGGTCGTATTTGAGAATTTTGTCTGTTTTGTTCCTGTGTGATGTACACCTAGTTTACACCTATATTTTGTTTACCAAAACCAAAAATGCTAGGGACCCAAAAATTTTATCAAAATTTTTATCAAATGTCTCACATAGATGTGGGACCCACATGGGACCCATATATGAGACATTTGGTAAAATTTTTAGTAAAATATTTAGAATCCTTAGCATTATTCTTTGTTTACACCTATATTTTACCGACCCTTCTCCGCATGAACTAGTAAATCTAAACCAGTTATGAAGTGACATATATACGAGTGGACTCCGTGTGTATATATATATATATATATATACACGGAGGCCCAGGATCGGTGTGGGGGTTAAAAAAGGTGCCAAGCAAGTTGTTGATTTGTTTAATATAAATTTTAGATCATAGATTTAATATAAAAATAAAAAATCGTGTACTCTACATAATTAGGCTGTTTTAAAAATGTTGAAAGCTTTTGATTTTATAATTATCATATTCACAAAGCCCATATTTCATTTAATATTTAAGACTTTTAGCCTCATAGATCTTTAGACTTTGAATTTTAGACTTTTAACTCTTTTAAGTTTTTGTATCTACTAAAGTTGTCCATAAATGAGCCTTAAAGACTCTCTCCATCCTCTAAGCATCCCCACGTCCACATCAGTAATTGGCTTCAAGATGATTAGAAGAAAAAGACAAATAGTCAGTCTGTAGAAGATAAGGCCTCTCTTCAACGAGCAGTAAAATTCACGCTAAAAAATGACAACAACTATTGTAATTATTTGTGTCTGTAATTATTTGCGTCTATCAGTGGTAAGGCTTCTCCTTCACTCACTACTTTGATAGAGCAGATGACTCATACCCTGCTCCATTAAAGAAAAGATATGAGAATCCTTACACGTGTATCATAATGTCAAAATCAAGGATCAAAATAGAAAGATTGAATGATGTGCGATAGGGCCCAAAATAGTACCCGGCATCATTATCCGAACCCTTTATTATAGCCACAAAGTCTTTGTATTTATTATGTAAAAATTTTGTGAAGCCTATGACTAGGCCTTTAGACTTTGTGCAAAGGTTAGACGTAAGTGTTAAGTCTTTGGTTTTTGTTTGTATCCATTAATTATATTGTATAAATTGGCGTTCATGCCAACGGATGAAGCAACATAAATTCTCTCTACACTTTGTTGCAAAAATTCTCCAACTTCTTTACTCAAGTCCTTGTCTAAAAAAATTCAAGTGTTCAAGTCTTTCAATGTTTTCCAATATCTCAAAGTCTGTAACATAATCTTTGTAAGTATAATATATATTAATATGAAGTGTGAGTAGTCTCTCTTTTTCCTTAGATATTTCAAAAGGGCAACTCTTCTGTTCTAAATTTTTTTTTTTTTCTTTTGGAAAACTAAGTTTATGGAATGCTTGTTTGCTCATTAATATTACATGCTTTGAACCTTTTATAGTATCTATTATTTTCTATTTTATTACTGAGTGACCTTAGGTAAAGAGCCCGAACACATCTCTCTTTTGTCTTCTCCAACTCTTTCACCCATCTCATCCTATTTGTTTAGATGCCCCTCTTGTGTTGCATATTAATGTTAAATAGGGTTTTGGTGTGTATGAAAGGGTGGGTATGAGCTAGTGACATTGTCTTTCAAATTTGTCAAATTAGGCAGTACTGTAACTTCTCTAATTTAAAAGAAATATCAAATTTATTTATTTCTCAAATCTGAATTTATTGTAAGCTATTTGGTGTGTTTAGAGCTTGTGATAATTTTATTAGCCCCTAATTGTATGTGTTTTAGGGCTTGGATATTTTGTTTAAAAATCTGGTCCCGAGTCTCTGAAAAACAGTCCACTTCTTTCAATTTTATAAAATTCCAAAAAAATCATCTCATGTTGGTTCTTCTGTCAAAATTTATAATTCTGAGTCCTCTTTCCAATGGAATTTATTTGAGTGAAAATCATTGGGTAGATTGAGAGGAAAGCTAGTTTTTCCAAAGGGTGACAAATCTAGACAGGTTTTCGAATATAGCTTGTAAATGAATTTCTGGAGGTGCTATGCAAATTCTGAGAATTGTAACTGAAACTAGATAGGTTGATTATTATTTCTGTGCAATTTCAGCCCCTAATTTGACTTGGAAGTATTTTTACCAAAGCATTCTTGTTAGCCCTGCAGAACTAAATAGTGATGAAAATGGTGTTTTATTGTGTTATTTGTCTCCATGTATTTCAAAGCATGCCTAAGGTTGTTTGCTTGCCTTACCATACTTAATGTCATTCCTCTCTTATATTTGTCTCATGCTCTTTTATATTACCAAATTACTGAATGTGACTAACTTGCTTGGCAAAATATTTAATAAACGGGAAATGACAAGGGGTTGGCAATGGGTGACGTTCACATTAGTATTGTGGAATAATTTATACATATGAATGACATGAATTATGATGGGATTAAAACCAAATGAGTTAAGTCTTGCGCAAGCGGTCTAAGCGAGCCCCTAGGTTGACACAGATGTATTCAGACTCTATACGGTGGTTTCAGGGTGTAAGCGAGCCCTTTGGTATGGTATGTGCAGGGTATAAGTAAGCCCCAGGCATGATTTGGGTGTAAGTGAGCCCACTTGTTTGGTCGTCCCTTTTGAGGTCCATCAATGTCACTGATCAGTAAATAACCGAGAGGTAGGCATGCATAGGTGGTAAGGTCTGCAAAGTAGCAAAAATGGGAGTTCTAAATAGTCCGGTGTTCAATCCTTGTGGTTGGGTAGAAGGATCTCTTTGGGGGATTCTAGATGTCCAGTCTAACTACTAATTCATAGAACTTTATTGTAATATTGTATGTTATGTTACCCAATTTGTTCTGTGTATAGTTGATTGGTTAATAAAAGAAATGGGGGTGTGTGTGTTTTTATTGGGCATTCCAAGCTCATGGCGTGCCATGCCAGGTGATGAAGCAGTTTACAATGGTGAAGATTATTTGAAGGAAAATAAGATATAAGTGTTAGAGTTATGGTTCATATGAAGACTTAGACTAGTAGTTTTTTTTTTTTTTCTCCTTTTGACTTTTGGTTTGGCAATGTTTTGATAATCCTATAATGGAACATAAACGAATTATATGTGATATTAACTCTGGTTATATATGTATATTAAGATGTTTTGGTTATCTATCCTATTTGTATTGTATTATTGTACGTATTTAACGGCTCAGAAGTTGGGGCGTTACAAATTGTAGGTAGAAATGGAAAGGTAAGAAATAGAAAATAAAAATATAGTGTGTTAAACGAGACTTAGCTTTAAGGTGGGAATACGTGTAATGAAAACAAACATTACTTAAAAATAGTTTAACAAAGAGAACTTACTGAGTAATTGTAACTTAACAACATTAGTTTAACTTAAACTCCTCATTTAAGGTGTTCGAAATCTCCTAAGTGTTCAATTCTCAAGTCCAAAAGGTTGAATTTGAGTTCCATTTGATTTTCTTCCTATTTCTCTTTCTTTTCTCTAACTTTCTTGTCTAGCTCTCAAGAAGATAGTTTCTCCCTGACTTTCTCTGTGCTTCTCCATCCTTCTCTCTTTCGTTCTAGGAACTAATTAGCTTGGGCCCCTAATTGTTTCATTAGCTTAAGTGGCCAGGTTGAAATCAAACTAATCTTGCTTAGCCTCTAAGAAAATGAATTTACGGGGTAACTGTAGTTTAAAGATATTAGTTCAATTTAAACATCCCATCTGAGGTTTTCAAAATCACCCAAGTGTTCAATTCTCAAGTCCGAAAGGATCAATTTGAATTCCTTCTAATTTTCTTCGTATTTCTCTTTCATTTTCTCTAACTTTGTCTTCTAGCTCTCAAGAAGAAAGTTTCTCTCTAACTTTATGTGTGCTTCTCCATGCTTCTTCATTCTGTTCTAGTAACTAATTAGCTTGGGTCCCATAAATGTGTCATTCGCTTAACTGGCCAAGTTTAACTCAACCTAATCTTGCATAGCCACTGAACAATAGAATTTACTGAATATTTGTAGCTTAACGATATCAGTTTAACATAAGCACCACATTTATGGTTTCTTAAATCATTTAAGTGTTAAATTCTCAAGCCCAGAAGGATGAATTTGAATTCCCTTTGACTTTCTTCCAATTCCACTTTCTTTTCTCTTATACTTTCTATAAAATAAAATCGGAACGTAGTAGCCATAATCGATGGTGAAATGCAGCAATTAAATGGAGCACATCGATTTTATTTTATAGGCATAAAATGTTGACCGTGAATGGGTCAACCTTTATAGTATTTCATTTGGAAGAACAATTAAAATAAACGGCTACAAACAAATGGTATAGGATGCATCAACACGGCCCCAAATGGGCCCACTCTTTAAATTCAAAATTCCCGCTTGCGTTTGCCTTTTTAGATTTTTAATCCTGACCGCAGATCTGGGCGTGGAGCAGAGACGCTAGCCGACAATACGCCACAAAATGCGGAAAGGAGCACCAATCGGGGGACGACACGTGGCGGGGGGGGGAGCGTCCCAGGTAATATTAGTGGGACGCTCCTGGGCACCTATATAACTCACTCCCTCACTCTCTAAGACCAGTAAAATTTTTAGAGAGTGACTTGCGTCATCCGAGAGAGTAAGTGACGTCATTGAGAGTGAGTTATGGCCTCAATGCGACGTCGTTTTAGAGTTCAAAACAATAACATCTTCCTCACATATGCCCAATGTGACGTCGTTTTAAATTAATTATTCTCCCAACTCTATCAACTCGGATATATAAGATTATGTATTAGGCATTCATACGGCATAAGAGAATTGTGTGTCTGACAATTCAAACAGACCGTTGCGCTAGCACAATGTCAGAAGAAATACAACAAGCTGATCTTACAAATAACCTTCACCAGAACGAGGAGGGGGATTTGGAA